TGGGGGAAAAAAATAAAAAGTTCATTCAAAAAAATTATTTCAAAAGAGATTTCATATAAAGCCTTTAAAACACGGTCAAAAGTTTCTCCCTCTTCTCCAGATCCCTGTCCCTAAAGGTTGAACATTTACAGAGAGAAAGAGAGAGAGAGAGAAAGAGAGAAAAATAGAGAGAGTTTATAACAATCTCTGCAGAGGAAACAAAACAGTCCAGAAAGAAAATATCCAAGAATATGTAAGGGATAAAATTACATTTGTACAAAAATAGATTTTAACTTTATTGATGCTTTAGATATTTTTCCTTATCTTTTATCTTTTTTTTTTTTTGTCATTCTAAATTTTAACGTATTTTATTTTTTAGCTATGCGTCCCATAGCCAAGGCATCCATCACTAAGTATTGGGAACTGCTAAAGCTATTTTTACTCAAAACCACCTGCTGCTCCGGGGGTGGGGAGGGGGACCAGCAGGTTGCTGCCAGGGCAGATCACCCCCCGTTCCCCTTCCCCTGCCCTCCCCAAGCTGCCTCCCAGCGCTTCCCAAATGAAAAAATATTGCGGCCAAGTTAGAAACACACGGATCGTCACTAACCAAATTGAAACTCTTATTTTCCTTCTCCATCTGACCGGCTCTGCAGCCTTCGGGGGAGGATTTATCTCCGCTCTTAAACCCAAGAGCAAGTTCAATCTTGTTTGTACCTGGCAACAAATTCAGGTTAAGCTCAGGCCAGCACTAACGGCTCCCGTTCACCGGGGCTCCAGCACCTCCCTTGTGTGATGCTCCCGCTCCCCGGGCACCGAGGTGACTCCAGGAGGGATGGGGGCTGGAAAACAACCCGTTGTCACCCCTCATCACCAAGGTGGTGCTCAGCCTCCATGACCCCCATGCTCGCAGGACATGCCCTGCATCAGGGGCACCCCCTAAAGCTGAGCCCCCAGGCAGGGCTGGGAGGGTTTTGCCCGGTGCCGTGATGGCACAGGGACATTCCTGCCCACAGCCCTGCCATGCGCCCAGGGTGGCTTCTGTCACCCCACTGCCACCCACACAGGGAAAGGCCAGGGTGATCTGCAGGCACCCTCCTGGCATGTTTCCCCCCACTAACAGGGTTTGGCAACCTGGCAGCCCAGGTGGCCACAACGGCAACTTGTCCCATGTTTGGACCAAGTCAAGGAGGAGGGGGACACTGGGGGGGTGACGGTGAGCTGGAGACATCCCAGGGATCTGAACATTCATTCATGGGAAGTTCCTGAGGGAAAAAGTCTCTTCTGCTGAGCTGTGGGGTCCCGTGTCCATTCCCCCCATGTCCCCCCCCAAGTTCTGCCCTTGCTCCTCACCTCCAGCTGGGCTGGATTTACTCACACTCAGCCCCACCGTGACCAGGAGGGATGGTCCTGAGTACAGGGACCCTCTGGGGCAATGGGGACCCCCCCAATGGGAACAGACCCTCCATGAGCAGACCTGAAGGAATAACTTGCGACATACCAGTGAAGAACAAAAGAGGACGTGGACTGGGTTATATTTTAAAATGCTCATATATTTTCTTATTTTTTTTATCCTTTTTTCTTTTTCTTTTTCTTTTTTTCTTTTTCTTTTTTTTTTTTTTTTCACCTTGCTAGTTATGCAAACAGCTCCTCACTCTTTTTCACCAAAGCAAGTGGGAATTGTTCACTGTCACAAATAATAAATAACAAGAGGACCCGCTCCGCACAGCATGGAAGTGATAAAAACACATGCTTATGAGTGCTCGAGATTTCACAGCTATTAATTTTGAACTTTTTGATTGCAGCTCTGTTTTACAAGAGTGGATGCTGTTAGGGCAGCAGTGCACTGTGACAGAGGAAGATTATGACAACATGCATTTATCATCATGAGCTTGATAAATTCAGTGTAGAGATGGTCAGAAAATGCCCCTAAACCTGAAGTCGTGAAAGGCATCTGGCATTTACTGAAAATCAAACATTATTTCATTGCTGTTAACCCTCCCCGAAAAAGATTTTGGAAGTGGGGGAAAAAAATAAAAAGTTCATTCAAAAAAATTATTTCAAAAGAGATTTCATATAAAGCCTTTAAAACACGGTCAAAAGTTTCTCCCTCTTCTCCAGATCCCTGTCCCTAAAGGTTGAACATTTACAGAGAGAAAGAGAGAGAGAGAGAAAGAGAGAAAAATAGAGAGAGTTTATAACAATCTCTGCAGAGGAAACAAAACAGTCCAGAAAGAAAATATCCAAGAATATGTAAGGGATAAAATTACATTTGTACAAAAATAGATTTTAACTTTATTGATGCTTTAGATATTTTTCCTTATCTTTTATCTTTTTTTTTTTTGTCATTCTAAATTTTAACGTATTTTATTTTTTAGCTATGCGTCCCATAGCCAAGGCATCCATCACTAAGTATTGGGAACTGCTAAAGCTATTTTTACTCAAAACCACCTGCTGCTCAAAAGAAAAACAAAACAAAACAAAAACCAAAAAAAAAAAAGAAGAAAACAAAAAACAAAAAGGCATCTTAAAATAGATGCATTTCCTTTGTCTCGAGGAATAAAGATCCAGATTTGGCATCTGCCAATTCGGAAAGGGCTTCAGATACAATGTACTCGCTTACATGAAGCAAAAAAAAAAAAAAAAAAAAAAAACAAAGCAAGAAAAAAAAAATAGGAAAAAAGAATTGACTTAAAACAAACAAAAAAAAAACAACCCACAAAAAGTCTGTAATTGCTACGGTTATAATATATGTATATGTGAGTGAGGATATTTATACAGTGTATATATCTACAGTACATACATGTATACACACGCACATATGTATCAACTTAAACCAGATCATGCACGTCGTCACTGATGGGGACAGCATCAGCTCTTGAGCCACGGTCCCACCATCTCCAACCCCTTCGTCCGACCAGGGGCTGAGCCCAGCCAGAAACACCACGGCTCCCCCCCAACCCCGGGGGGCTGCGGGGCAGGGTGGGCAGCCAGGATTTTGAGGGGGGGGTGGGAAAGCCAGGTCCAAAGTGCAGAGAAGCTGCTGGTGAGCTTGGGGGGGTGGGGGGATCAGTGTGGGGCTTCTTCCACCCACGGGTGGTGTGGAGATGATGGTCCTTTGCCCGTTAAGTCCATTCCTCGGGTCCCACCCGGCATCGGGGCTCAGCCCTTGGGTGCTGATGGATCTCAGGGAGGTTGAGCATCCTCCCCGGGGTGGCCCGTGGACATCCTGGATGGGGCTGGGTTTGGGTCAGGGCTCGGTGGAAACACGCGAGAAGGCAGCGAGGAACATCCAGGGCGGCAGGCGGGTGGCTGAAAAGCTGATGTTTGTGCTATCTTTAGAAAATTAAAGATTGTCCCACCAACAAAAAAAAAGGAATTTAAAAAAAAAAAATAAAATTAAAAAATAGATCACCTTAATCAAACCAGATTTTTTGCAAGAGTACTAAGATCTGGTTAAATGAAAGTCCTACCTCTCTAGCGAATAATGTGCCTTTTTTTTTCTTTTACCCATGTATCACCTCTTCAAACAAGCATGTAGTATATTTATAATTATTTTTTTAATTTTTTTTTTCCTTTTTTTTTTAAGTGAATAATAATATACGGTAGTGATTTCACAGTAAAACAGACCTGCGGGAACGAAAAAAAAAAAAAAAAAAAAAAGCCCAAAGTGAAAAAAGAATACAAATGAAAGACTCAAACTCATGCAAAAGCACGTTGCTTTAAGGCTGCTGTGGCAGATGTTACCGGATGCACAAAAGCTTTTCCTTCTGATGGGGAGGGCTGGGCTGGTGATGCTGGAGAGGGGGGACATGGGGTGGGCTCGGGTCCCAGCTCTGGGGGTTGGTCACACACATTCAGAACCTGCTGACAACCCAAAATGCCCAGTGTGGCTGCCGGGGGCGATCAAAGAGCTCTGCTGAAGGCAAGAGAGTCACGTTGAGTTACAGCAATGTGGGGGGGTCCATTGACACCGGCTGAAAACAAAAAGCCCAGGACGATGCTCAGCCTTTCCCCAAAACCCTCCTCATCCTGGGGCATGAATTGTGGCCGTGAGCTGCTCCAGGAGGGAAACTGAGGCATGGAGACGCATATCCTGACCAAGAGCCCTGGGCCTGCAGAGCCTTGCCCTTTGCTGAGGACACCCCCTTGCTCATGGTGGTGTATTTTTATCGGGTCAAAACTTAACTGGGATGGGATGGGATGGGGTAGGATGAGATGGGAAAGGATGGGGTAGGGTGGGATGGAATGGCATGGGAAAGGATGGGGTGGGATGGGATAGGGTGGCATAGGATGGGATGGCAAAGCATGGGACAGGATGGGACGGGACGGGACGGGACGGGATGGGATGGGATGGGATGGGATAGGATGGGATGGGATGGCAGCTCCTGCTCTGCAGCCCGGATGGGGTGGGGTGGGATGGGCTAGGGTGCCATAGGATGGGATGGCATGATATGGGAAAGGATGGGATGGCATGGGATGGCATGGCAGCTCCTTCTCTGCAGCTCAATGGCATGGCATGGCATGGCATGGCATGGGAAAGGATGGGGTAGGATGAGATGGGAAAGGATGGGGTAGGGTGGGATGGAATGGCATGGGAAAGGATGGGGTGGGATGGGATAGGGTGGCATAGGATGGGATGGCATGGCAGCTCCTTCTCTGCAGCTCAGCAGTGCCCAGGGCTGTAGCTGGCCAGAGCACAGCCTCACAAGCCACCAACAGCTCAGCACCAGCACCAAACAGCCCCTTCCAAGCCATCAATCGGGGGAAAAAAAGTGATTCCACCCAACAGAGAAGTACGTCGGGTTTATCCTAGTGCAATATCCACCGCCTCTTTCACAAAGCACCCTCATCCTCTCCAGAAAGCGAGCTCCAGGCTCTTTCCCACCAGCAAGAGCCAGGCTGGGGGCTGGTTTGGGGCTGGGGGTTGCCCTGGGGGCTGGTTTGGCTGGGGGCTGAGCTCCGAGGCGGCTGGCTGGGGGCTAACACCTCCCTGCAAGCCCCCTGCGGGGCTGCGGCAGCCTTACGCTGGCAAGGAACAGCCTGCTCGTGTTTACTGGCACCCTTTACATATTTCATTTCTCTTGCCTAGTTTTCTTGGCAAAATCTTGCAGGGTGAAGCTGTTTAATAATATTTTCGGCGGCATGCAGGCTGCTGGAGAAACACAGCCAAAACACTTTCCCTGCCTCTGTGGATTTGCCACTTCAGGCCAGCCTAAGGGAAAGTTATGACCTGAAATCCTGAGTATTTATTTAGCAATGAGATGGGCTGGTTAACGGCAGGGGATGGAGCCGGGGACTCGAGCTGCCAGGCAGGATGATGACAGGCAGGAGGTGACAGCCACGTCCCCTCAAAAACAGAGGTGGGAGCTGGTGGGCATCGCTCCATCCCGCCCTCCAGGCACAAAGGAGGTGTTTGAAGAGCCAGCTACAATCCAGGGGGTGAAAAAAAGTTACCTTTGGGACCTAGTACTTGGCCACTCCAAAGCAGAGAAGACATGAAAGCGGTGGGGAAGCCCTTGGTCCTCGGCCAAGCGCAGGCACCTCGTTCTTGGCTCTAAACACCCACCCCATGGTGCCATCGGGACAGTCCATCCTGCCAAGTGGGGACAAGACCCTCCCCAACACCCCTCATGCTTGCTCTGCATTTTTTTTCCCCTCTAACTCATTTTTTCCATGGGGCTCTGGAGACTCCTGATGAAGGTGAAATGGGGAGATGAAGGGGAAACACTCCCTGGCTGGGGGATCCTCTCCTGTGGGGTGGGGGCATGTTCCTGAGACCGTGTCCCTAATCCCCAACATCCCGTCCATCTCCCCTCCTGTCACATCAAGGCTCAAGGAAAGGACCGTGCAAAACCCAAGGTGCTTTTGGTGCTCTCAGCATCCCGGAGGGGCCGGGGATGGGCGCTCTCCCCACGTCCCCCACCTCTCACCCCTCCGTCCCTGCCCGACGGGGGAGATTCAGGGCAGGGGGAGCCCTGTTCTTGCTTCACCACTAATTAACAGCCGCAATCACCAGCTTGGCCAAGCACTCCCACTAATTGTTGCCTCGCCATGTTTTCCACGGCAGCTGCTGAATCAACAGGAGCAGCCTCTTGGGCAAGTCCAAACCCCCGTGCGAGCCGAGGGCTTGGTGGCCACGGGGACATGCCTATGGAACCCAGGGCTGCTGGGGCACGGAGGGGGTGTTGTGCCAAGCCCACCCCACCAGCTGGAAATGCCCCTCCAACCTCACTGAACCAGGTCAGGACCAAAACCACTGAGAAGGAGCCATTGCCAGCACGACATCTCCTGCTGCTCCGAGGCGACAGCCCTTGAAATAAAGCGTGGGTCCGGCAGGACAGGCTGGACCCAGTCTCACCAGTGGGGCCGTGCTGGGATGCTGGGCACAGGGCTGAGGGCAGGGGTCTGGCAAGACCCCGTGAGCTGGGGAAGGGTGATATCAAGGCCCTGGCAGCCTTAAAGCAAGTGCTCCAGCTGGCTCATGTCCGCACAGGCAGCTCCACACCAAGCACAGAGGCATCTTCAGGAGGAGCAGCGATGCCCCATTCCTCTCCAGGATGGCAAGAAGGGATATTTCAGGTGCTGCCACCCACGGGACCCTCTGCACAGAGGCTCCCCCACGCCCCCAGTTGCTTTGTTATTTGAGGGGGGAGAATAGAGCTCAGTCCCAAATCCTCTGCTTTTAATTGAAAGGAGAAGGCTCTGCACAGCCCCGGGTGACTCATTGGCAGGGCATGGGCCGGGCCGCCTCTCCCTCCGCGAAGTAACTACCGAGACTACTAATAATAGTTAGAAACCAAAAATAGAATTCCTTTTTTTTTTTTTTTTTTTTCTTCTTTCTTTTTTTTTTTTTTTTTTTTTTTTTTCAAAAACTCCATCCTCTGAAAATAGCCAGCTGCGATCCGGTGAGTTCAACCACTCCCCATCAGCTCATCCAAACCCCACTGCCCCCCAAAAGGGCTGGGACCCCTCCCCGGCCCTATCCCCATCCCCACTCCTTCCCCATGGGAATCGCCGCCGGCTGCGACACGCACGTGGGGTGATGCCAAGCCCGTCTGGTGGCTCACCCCAAAACTCATGGCACGGCGAGGGGGGGGGAGCTGGGGTGGGGGGATGCCAGCTGGGGTGGTGGGTGGCAGGTGACAAGCTCTCTCCGCTTCCAACTTCTCTACATCTAGCGCAGGGAACCAGCGAGCAGGTCTCGAGACGCAGCAGTGACAGCAAAAAAACCACGGAGAAGGGTGAAGGCAACAAGGAGGCGAGGGACGGCAGGGGCTCGCCCCGGCTCAGACGGTGCCTCCAGCGCTGGGGAGAGGAGGGAAGGACGGGCTGGGGGAGGAAAGCGGAGGAAGGGGTCCCCCCCAGACCCCCCCCCAGGCCGGGCGAGGGACTGACCCAGCAGCAGTTCTCTTTTAAGTCATTTGATGGGGCGCTTCCAGCATTTCCATCAAGAAGGTGTCGATCGGCGTGTCGCCTATTAGCTTGAAGAAGAAGAGGTGCTCCAGGCATTTCAGGCCGATGGACCGGAGGGCTGGGAGGCGGAGCAGGAGCTTTGCGAACCTGGGGGCAGGAGACATCACATGGTCAGACATCCATCCCACCGCAGCCCCCTTGTTTCCACCCCAACCCTCAAGCTCAGGGGGGTGCTCCCCCTCAGGAGTCACTGAATTTTTCGAGTTGGAAGGGGCCATAGAGATCATCTAGTCCAACTCCCCTGCTGAAGCAGGACCACCCAGAGCTTGTCAGAGCATGTTACTCAGGAGCATCCAGGCAGGTCTTGAAAATCTCCAGAGAAGGGGACTCCACACCCTCCCTGGGCAGCCTGTTCCAGGGCTCTGCCACCGTCACTGTGAAAAAGTTGTTTCTCATATATGAGTGGAAGTCAAACACAACATCTTCTGCTACCCAAGGCATGGGGCTACACCCAGAGCTGTGCAGAGAAATCATTAATTATGTCCCCAGCCCTGAAGATCAGGCAGCCAGGGTGACAATTCACAACAAGCATCTGCTGATAGCTGAGCTGGAAGAGTCAGATAAGAAATGAAAGGCCATCCCTGGAGTGGGGTGCACCACTGGCTCCGTGCATCTGTGTCACCTCTGTGTGTTACTATACAGGGAGCACCCCGAGATGCTGCTGGGGTCCCCACACCGCAGCCATGGGGATATGGCACCGTGGGGCCAGCCTGGTCCCAGACAGTGGTGCAAGGAGCTTCAGAAGCTCCATCTTCGGTCAGGGAAAAGGACCAGCAGCCGGGGAGGGGATGGAGGAGAGGCTGAGTGGGGTTAGCTGGGATTTAGCTCGGCCGTGCCCCTTCCCTCAGGGCTCCAGGCACCTCACAGGCAGCTCCACCAGCCATCACTCCTCTGCAGAGCCCTGGGGCCTGCTGGTGCGGCAGAAACGCGGCTGACAGCCGGGCTGGAGGCACCTCGGGGGGGTGAAGCCAATGGAAGGAGACAAGGGCTTTGATGCACAAGCTGGAAAGAGCGCTGCAAAGCAGCCGGGACACGGGGGGCTCCCCTTCTCCCCGCCCCAGCCCAACAAAAGCCCTTTCTCCGACGCTCGTCAGGTTGCACCCTCGACGCCAGTGAGAGCCGAGGGGCAGGAGGGGTGTGCAGCCGGGCAGGGGAGAGCCAGGGGGGCTGGGGAGAGCCGACGGGGCTGCAGGACCCAGCTGGGAGGAAGGAGATGGTGATGCTGGGGAAAGGCTGCTGTGTTGGACTCCGAGGTTCAGCAGGAGGTTCCTCCAAGGGTGCTCAGAGCATCCCTCGGTGCCACCCAGGATGTCCCCAACCTGCCCGCCCATGTCCTGAGGGTGCAGGCAGCAACCCTAGGTGCTGTGGGATGTCACCTCCCCACTCTCAAAAGGGGGAAAAGGCCCTTTAACAGCCGGGAGCTCATTTATTTGTTTTTTCTGCTGCACAATCAGAGCTTCAACATAAGCAAAGGCCGGAACCAGCGCGGGGAGAAGGGGACTCTCCAGAAAACCCACACATCGAAAGAGAGACATGCACAAACATACAGATATTATACATGCACGCACACTTCTTCTCTCTCTCTCTATTTCTTTCTTTTTCTTTTTTTTTTTTTTTTTTTTTTTTTTTGCTGAGCTGGCGAGAACGGTGGGAGCAGAGCCAGGAAAAACAAATCAGTCCTACCATCCCATTCAGGAAGTTTCACTTTAAACCAAACCAGATGATGGCTCCAGCCCTCGGATACGTTTAACTGTGAGATAACCAGCCCGCAGCACAACATGCCAGCGCCGTGGCTGGCGGGGGGGGAGGAGAAGGGGAGGGGGGGGAAGAAAATAGCCCCGATTCCCTGCGGCTGCTCGGTGTCACGTACACACTGTGCCCTCCCTGCCGAGGAGCCGGGGCTGGTGTCGGGGGAGAAGAGGCTGCTCGGTGTCACGTACACACTGTGCCCTCCCTCCGAGGAGCCAGGGCTGGTGTCTGGGGGGAGAAGGGCTGGGTTTTTCCTAGGAATGCCTCCCTCCGACCCGCTGTGGCAGAGAAGTTCCCTTTTGGTGTTCAGATGGTGCTCGAGAGCTCTCGATGGCTGGGGACGGGGCTGAAGTCACGGCACCCAAGGGCATCCGCAGTGGTGGGGAAGCCAAGGGCTCGCCACAGCCTGGAGCAGGGGAGGGCACCCGCCGCCGGCGCGACCGGGCGTTTGCTCAACAACCACAGGAAGAACTTGTTTCCAGCCCCAGATGATGATCACATTGTGCCATGAGACCAGGAGGATGGAGAGAGAGAGAGAGCTCTTGAGAGCTTCATTTAGCTCTTGTGCAACTCCGGACTCCCGGCCCACGAGTTAACCCTCCCGAGCCACCTGGGCTTATTCCACCATCGCCCTGCACCCTACGAGAGGGGCAGCAAGGCCAGCAATGCTCAGTAACGCCTCTCAGGACAGCCCTAAGCGTGCAAAAACCTTTAAGGTCACCCAAGAAGGGTGTGAGGATCACACAAAGAGGTCTCCAGCCCAATGTCATTCAAAGCCAGTGAGAGATCAAACTCCAGAGCCCTCGCTGCAGCTCCGGGACCTAAAACGCTCCTTTACACGTGGCTGATGATGGAGGTAGAGCCCTGGGGAACTGATTTTGGCTGGTGGCTCAGTGACCCTGCTCAGTCATGCACAGCGGTGTTGCGGTCGATGAAGAGAGGGGCTGTCCCCATGGCAGCCCCCTGCCCAGCCCTGTCCCAGCCTTGGCTGCGGACACTGGACGCTTTGTGGGAAGCAAAGAGTTCATCCCACCAGGGGAATAACCCAGGAGAAGAGCTGGGCAGCATTCCCAAGGCAGCAATCCTTGTGCCAGGTACAGCTGGCTGCTCCCCGTGAGTCCCAGGGGAGGCAGAGCTCTTCCGAAACACCACAACAGCCACAGTCCAGGGTCTGGGTCTGGCTTCCCTTTGGAACTGTGATTTAATAACTCTTCTTGGAGCCTGGGGTCCAAACAAACCACCCTGAGGAGGGGAGGTAACCACCCCTGCTCTGCGCATCCCTCACTTCCCTCCTCACCACGAAGTCCCACACACCCAACGGTACCTTCATCCTAACGCCCCGCCACAAGCCAACCAGGAACATCCAAGAAGCCTCTTTACAACGTGTCTTTTTTCATTTGCCAGCACATCGACACCCAAACGGGGGGAAAAAAAAAGTCCAAGATTGCTTCCAAGGGCGTGATCTGCCCACTGCATTCATTGCTTTAAGAGCATCCCTTTTTTTTTTTTTCCCCTTCAACCATCCAGACACGCAAGACCGGGAATGCAGGTGAGATGCAAATCCCAGTTGCCTGGGCTGTTTTTCCCAATATTCACGGTTCAGCAGCGATACGCACCACCAGCACTTTCCAGTGCTTTTTGCTTGGTTTCTCAAATGACTGTCAGTAACTTAACTGGCAGTTGCCAACTTCAGGCTGTAACTGGGAAAATGCGCCCACTCAGCTCCAGAGCGGTCCAGGAAAGCATTCCTAATTCCCCCTCCCATTCCCAGCTGGATTGGGGGAGGTGGGGAGGGAAGAAAAAGAGCATCAATTGAGGCTTTCACTTCCCGGCAATGATGCTCATCTGCCACTGAAAATTAACTCCGTGTGCGTCTTATTTTCGCTGTGGTTTGCTCTCCGTGGTTGCCAAAAGGGAAACGATACCCCTTCCCCCTCCACGTGCTCGTCCCGCGGCCGCAGGAGCCAGGGCTCCTCGGGTCTGGGCAGCACCGGGACTGCCCGACCTTGTCCTGGCTGCTGGGGAATAAAGACCACTTTGCACTTCACAGGGAAGGGCTTTGCTAAGGACACTCGTGGCTGAAGAAGGTAGAAATGAGTGGTTTTCTCTACAGACAACTGCTCGCTGCCAAAGGACAACGGGAAGAGAGAGCCCGAAATGGGAAGGACCCAGCCACCCACGAGCTGCAGTGACCCCAAGGAGGGCACTCACACCCCGCTGAGAGCTGCAGGACCCTTTGCAGGGGGATTTACAGGGGTACAAGGCTGTGGGGGGGACACAGGACACGGCCAGCAACTCACCTCCCGGGCTGGTCGGGGTATTTGTGTTTGCAGTATGCCTCTAGCGACGCGTACACCTTCTCCCGTAACGCCTCCACCTCAGCCGGGTTGGAGAGACCTTTCGAGTCTGGAAGGCAATGGAAGGACCATCAGCCAAAAAAACCTCCAGGCTTTCCAAGTAGGCAAGGAGCCCCCCTGGTCACCCCCCCGGACCTCTCCATCCCTCCCGGCACCACCAGATGAGGGCCCAGTGTGGATGCGGGGTCTGAACCCCAGGAATTTGGGGGCATCTAACACCTCCTGGGGAGTGTTTAAACCCTGAAAGGTTTGTCCTGTAGCTACAAATCTGGTTTACTCCACCTCATACCCCATCCCCAACCGTTTTGGTTTATTCCAGTGGTCACAGACCCTCATGGAGAGGGTTTAAGTCCCCCTCAAGTCCTGGGCTTGTGGACCTTCTCCCTCCAGCACGAAGCACCGTGGCAGGGCTGAACAAGAAGCCCCCACTCTGGCAGGTCCCCCCACGAAGCAGCAAGAATCTGTTTTTAGTCGGGTGAAAGGGACAGTCAAGCAATCGATATCCCCAAGCACAAGCACCACGGGAACCTCTCCAGATTCCCCTTCTTTTACCATATACGGCTAATCCCAAATTACAGACAATAAATTACTGGTGATTACAAGGGGGAAAAAAAAAATAAAGACACACACAAAAAAAAAAGTCAAGCAGAAAAACAAACCCAAGAAACAGCAATAAACCCTGCTGAAATGCCCTGGCCTGGGTTCGGTGGGAAAGGCCAGCGAAAGAGCTGTGCCTGGGCACAAAGCATGCTCCTGGGAGGGCAGGGAGGGGAAAGGGTGGCTGCAGATGTGGAGGTCTGTCCTCAGATCCCATCTGCTTTTGCTCTGGATTGAACCCCTCTAAAATTGAGGGAACCCCCCCACCAGAGCTGTATGTGCAGGCTGGCAGCCCATCGCCCGGATTTTGCTCCCCGAAACACCAGAGACAACCCCTGGCCTTCAACCTTCTTCTTCTTCTTCTCTTGGGCAGCTGGGGCCAAG